TGATCCATCAGAGCATATCTCCGCCACCACTGGCAAGCTTTGTATCGGTCAGTCCATCCCTGCAGGAGGGCTTCTCCGATCTATGTTCCATCCAGAGGTTACACTGAGTCCTCATGATATCTACATGGCACCAGGCAATCAGGATGATGAGATCTTCCATCAATGTCAGCGCCATTGGATTGCAGAGGCCATTCGCTATACTCATCGGGAGGCAGTAGAGAAACTATTTACTGCGGAAGCGTGCGTCAAACCAGGCCAGATGAAACCGCGAGCCCATCTTATTGACTGGCCTGAATTCCCAGCAGTTAAACGACTGCAAGCGCAGAAGACAATTCACTACAGCCTTGGGCCAATGTTATACAACGAAGGCACGACAGAGGGGACATACAAGGTCATTCAGAATGTCTTTCTGGAGCAACTGGGGGATGATGATGATACAGACCTTGATGGGCTTTTACAACTGGTTTATGGAGATCAGAAAACAGTGTCACTCCTTCGTGCCGTCAAAAAAGAACGTGCGGAGGCTTCTCGTCTTTTCGATCGTTTCAGCTGGATATTGCCAATCCCCGGACTGTTCCACTGGCGTATGAACTACTTGGATATGATCTTTGAGCTCTATGCTGGGACAGACCACCCTACCGTTGAATCGACGATCCATCATAATAAGGTCTGTCTCGGTTGCGTACAGGGACACAAAAGTCCATTCCACCATAAAGAAGAGGTGGCTACTCGCTCATTTGACGCTCGCGTCACGGCCATGTTCTATCAGTTTGTCCCATTAACAGTCAATTTCGCGGATGCTAAAGATGTGGATGATTGGATTCAAAGCCTCGGAAGGGGTCAATTCCTGGACGTTGTGGATCAGATACGCCAGTCTCTGTTCCATTTTAAAGAGCAGCAGTCTAAGGTTCGTGAACGAGAAGGAGAACCAGTCGACTATGAGTTCTCAGCACATGCGAAATTCCTTCAGCAGATGGAGACTTACAAGTCCTTGAAGCTTGCCATCAAACTTGGTGACATTGGAATTATCCAGCGGATCTTTGCACAATGTTGTCTCCTCTTCCCTGGCACAAAGAAAACCCGATATTCTTTCCTCTCCTTGTATATGACATGGCTCACTCAAACCAAAGCAGCTGATCCCGAGCTGCAGACTGCCATTCTTGCCAACGGACTTGTGAATCTACGGGGTGCGGAGGACGGTTGGTTCGAAATTGATCGACTGAATGAGTTCTTCAATCTTCATATGAAGACACTCATGTCGACTCGACGGACCTCAAATCTGGACATCACTACCATGTTCCGTCGAACTGCTCTCACAGCCAGCTACTGTACTGATCTAAAGGAGCTTCTGGAGGCTACCTTTGGAGAATATAGCAATGGGCGACACCAAAATAAGGATGCTAGCCAGGATGTTCGTCATCTAGCTTATCAGATCTCGAAGTGCATCCAAAAGCAACCAAATGGTCGGACAAGAGGCTTTCAACCATGTGATATACTCACAGAAACAATTGGCGAAAAGCTCTTCAAAGCCGTACAGAACTTCAATAGCCTCGTCGTCAACGGACAGTGGGCACAAGAAGTTGATTTTAGCAAGATGACATCGACTCCTATTGCTGTTCTAGATGAGATTGAAGAGAATGACACATGACACTGAATAGCAGGTTGCTGCCGGGACAGCTTTAGCTATACTTCTCTTCATTCCATTGATAATACTCCCACGCTATATTATAAGGTGACTGACACACATTGATGGAATGCATCAGATGGATTGTTCATCATTCTCTACCAGACCTTAGAACCTAGGTCTTCTCCACCCTTCATCACGCGACGCCCATTTCCTGATACCACACCGAGGGCCTTGCGTTTGGGAACTGGAGTTGCCGAAGGAGGAGGCATGTCCATAAAAGCTTGGGATGGCGTGTTAATATCAACCCACGGAGAGATATTCCGAGATGGAGTTGGTTGACTGGTGCTTTCTGGCGTGACTGCAGAAGACCATGTGAGGTTGCTGCATTCACTCATTTGACTAGAGTCATTCGACACACGCTTCCTCTTTGCAGGGGTTTGAATAGTGGCCATAAAGGCTGCTTGATATGCATTCTTCAAGACATCCACAAGACCCTCAGCAAGCTGATTCGACAAAGCCCATATTCCCAATATTGTCTGAAGATCCTTTGCCTGGAAATATTCCCGCTCCGAATAGGTGGCATTTTCAATATATATCGCAAGATGGACATATTGTTCTTCTGCCAGTATGCTTGAGCAATCAGGTATGAACTTCACTCCGTTCAAAGCGCTTGAAAGGACCTCCTTGGACCAATATTTTAACTGGTTGATGATTATCTCGTCCATCTGTCCTGACCTCGGACCGTGCTCAGTATACAGATAACGAGTTGGATCATTGAGCTGATACTCAGGATTGCAGTTGCTGCAGCACCGGTCACGCCGAGGATTACATCTGAACTCTTCAGGTTCATTGAAGTAGTCCAGGAACCGTTTCCGGAGGCATTCTGTAGGCTCATTGGCAAGGAGATACCAAAATTCAGGCAACACAGCACGTCGCTCTTCATGACTTAAGCGTCCACCTTTCTGTGGTCTCTCAGGGTTTGCTTCTTTGACTTCATCATCTGAATCGGCCAGTGGGTTGTCTTCCGCTAGATCATCATTTTCTGTATGAATCTTGCGTTTCACGGCACGTTTCTTGATACGCCCCTGTATCCACTGATCAACGAGAATAACGATCTTTCCATCCTGTCCAAGGCGAGATGCCCGACCACCGCGTTGCCAGAGCGTTGCTGGTTGTAGGTTTTTGGGGAACCGATACATGACAACTTGATCAATATCCTGGAGGTCCACTCCGAGCGCTAGTGCCTCGGTGGTCATGAGGACACGAAGCTTGGATTGCGGTCCGGGTTTCTGAAGCTCTTTGATCATTGCTTCCTTGTCTCCCTTTGCGGTGTCGCTATGGTAGACCTTCACCGTATCCATTGCCTCTTTGAGGGTATAGTTGCAATGTTGAACACTTGCCCCATCTGGTTGCTTGTTATGCTGCAGCCAATACCGACAATTTTCCATGGCAGTATATGCATCATTCTTCGAGTCAAAGAATACCAATGTCTTTGGGATTCGTGACGGTCGTAAAATGGGCTGACAAGGACCATTGTCAAACAGGAAACGCAAGGCCGTTGCCTTCTTATGCGCGCCTTGTGGGATCCAAGCTGTTTGAATGAGCAACTCTGGACGATTGACGGATGTCCGCAAGATTTCAACATCCTTTGGAAACCCAAGTCCCTCAATAACAACGCGCAATGTATTCATATCAAGCGTAGCAGAGCATGCAAACCAGGGGACGCCACTGCCGAATAGACTTCGCAATTGATGCAATCGCGCATAGTCCGTTCGAAAATCTTTGCCCCATTGAGCCACAAGATGAGCTTCGTCTACAACAACCAGAGCCAGCCGGTCTCGGAAACCTGGATGCATAGCAGTTGAACGGAACTTGTCACTGATTGCAAGCTCTGGACTCACGAGGACATGTGTGAACTTGCCCGCTTGTACCCTGTCAAGAAGTTCGGATGAGAATGTTTCCCTGTTTAGGAAACAAGGTCGCCCTCCAATGTTCTCGATGTAATTGGTCTGCTCAACGCCAATTTGATTCAATGGAAGCACAACAAGGGTGATAGACTTATCAAGCAAGAGTGACACTGCTTGCAATATCATACTCTTCCCAAATGACGTCTTCGCAATCAGGATAAGGTCCTTTCTCAGGTAGATCAATTGTCTCAATGCTTGCAACTGACCCGCACGTGGATAATAGGGATACAGCTCTCGAATTGCTTGTCTGATGGCTTGGTCCTGTTCATCCTTACGCTTCTCAGACGCATCGCGAATCAGTTTCTGCGCTTGAAGAACTGAATTCTTCTCAACTTGTTGTTTCTCCAGCAAGACAGTTGCGCCCTCATTCTCGTACTCCACTCCCAATTCAATAGGCTCTCCAGCCTTTGAAGAAGGTCGATTATTCTCAGAGGCCAACCAGTTATCCAACTGTGTCTGTCCATTTCCGGGGTCGTTCAGTTTCGCGTTATATTTCCGAGGAGGCTTCCGTCGTGATGGGCGTCGATCTGGCATCGTGAGGCGGGTTTGGAGTCAATTTTCACGCGATAGAGTTAATATTGTGGATCAGATGTAGCCACTATACATTAAAATATGTCAATATATGCTTCATGGAGGTTTTGGCGGAATACTTGGGGCATATAATGGCTTTGACAGCTTAAGAAAGGGTTCCTTCGGGTATTTTAAGGACATATTTCTCACCCACCTTTCCAGTTATACATACAATTTTGGTGTCAATGGGTTCAGCTCAGAAAGATGCAGAAGACATCGTCGCCCGATTCTTAATATTCGCGTGGGTGCGCGAGAAACTTGGAAATATTGAAAGACGCGCCTGGAAACTTCGCCATATAAACACGGGCAAAAACCCCGGAAACTTGTATGGTACCACCAAATTCCCAGCTCAGACGTTCCCCAAAAAAGGTGTGTCAGCATCGCTGGAAACAGCAGGCGGTGGATGGCCAAATTCACCGCCTTTTTGGGGGCGGCTGAGGTAACTGAGGTAAAGAAAGTGTGGTAAAACAAAATGTGTTATATTCTGTCAATTTATATGGAAAAAACTGGAATGAAGGGGCCATCCAAGCAAGGGATGTGTTATTATCAAGAATGTGCAATATCCCACCGTGGTATAAGCGAGAGTTGACTGTACATTCCTTCCACCTTTTGTTAATCACTACTTTTCTTAATCTACCCCATTTTTTCCTTCTGCTGCCCTTATTTTGCGATCGAATATCAGTCCCTTATCTCCTTTCAACTTCCGGACTCTCGTCTCCTTTTTTCAACCTATTCAACCTAATCACTACAGATTAACTCGACAATCTCAACCTTCAACCTCCATAGAGTGTAGGCCTACTCCAACTAAGGACTCAACTCAATTCACTCAATCCAATATGCAACAACCCGAGGAAGGTGTGACGGCTGCCGAGGAGGTGGTGGTGGACCCTCAACTCACGGAGAAAACTACCGACAAGCGCAATTCCGATTTTGCTTCTACGTCAACGGCAAAGGAACATGAGACCAAAGCTCCAGTCTTGACAGACGAAGATGTGCTCTATGGTCATCTGTCACAGCATGAAAAGGACATCCTCAAGCGACAGCTAGATGCGCCTCCCGTCAAAACATCCTTCTTCGGCCTCTATCGCTATGCCTCCCGCATGGACATGCTCATCATCCTGGTCAGCACCCTCTGCGCCATTGCTGCCGGTGCCGCATTGCCTCTCTTCACTATCCTCTTTGGCTCCTTAGCAACAGCTTTCCAAAAGATCATGCTCAACACCATCCCCTACAACGAATTCTACCACCAGTTGACCAGCAGCGTGTTGTACTTCGTCTACCTCGGCATTGGTGAGTTCGTCACGGTCTACATCAGCACCGTCGGCTTCATCTACACCGGAGAGCACGTCAGGCAGAAGATTCGGGAGCACTACCTCAAAGCCATCCTTCGCCAGAACATCGCCTACTTCGACAAGCTCGGTGCAGGTGAAGTGACCTCCCGTATCACGGCCGACACCAACCTCATTCAGGATGGCGTCTCCGAAAAGGTCGGCTTGACCTTGACTGCCATCTACACGTTCGTGACTGCCTTCGTGGTGGGTTACATCAAGTATGCCCGCTTGGCCGGTATCTGTACTTCGACTATTGTCGCTCTGGTCGTGATTATGGGCGGAGGCTCCAAGTTCATCATCAAGTACAGCAAGCTTTCCCTGGAAAGCTATGGTGCCGGTGGTACCGTAGCCGAGGAAGTCATCAGCTCGATCCGCAATGCGACCGCCTTCGGTACTCAGGACAAGCTGGCGAAGCAGTACGAGGCTCATTTGGTCCGCGCTGAGCGCTGGGGCATGCGCCTGCAAATGGCTCTCGGCGTGATGGTTGGTGGCATATTTGGAATCATGTTCATGAACTACGGTCTTGGATTCTGGATGGGCTCCCGATTTTTGGTGGAAGGCAAGGTCGATATTGGACATGTCGTGACTATTTTGATGGCTATCCTCATCGCATCTTTTAGCTTGGGTAGCGTTAGCCCGAACGGCCAGGCCTTTACCAATGCTGTGGCCGCCGCTGCCAAGATCTTGGCGACTATCGACCGTCAATCCCCGCTAGACCCGACATCTGATGAAGGCATCATCCTTGACCACGTCGAGGGTCAGATCGAGTTCCGCAACGTGAAACACATCTATCCCTCCTGCCCCGAAGTTACAGTCATGCAGGACGTTTCCCTTGCTATGCCTGCCAGTAAGACCACCGCATTGGTTGGCGCTTCAGGCTCTGGCAAGAGTACTGTGGTCGGTCTGGTCGAGCGGTTCTATCTACCCGTTGGTGGTCAGGTATTCTTGGACGGACATGACATCCAGACTCTCAACCTGTGATGGCTGCGCCAACAGTCTCTCTAGTCAGCCAGGAACCTATTCTGTTTGGCACCACTATCTACCACAACATCCGCTACGGTCTGATTGGAACACGCTTCGAGCACGAGTCCGGGGAAACGATCAAAGAACTCGTTGAGAATGCCACTAAGATGGCCAACGCTCACGAGTTTATTACTGTCCTTCCGGAAGGATACGAAACCAATGTTGGGCAGCGTGGATTCTTGCTATCTGGAGGCCAGAAGCAACGTATTGCTATCGCACGTGCTGTCGTCGGCGACCCCAAGATTCTCCTACTCGATGAAGCCACTTCCGCCCTGGATACCAAGTCCGAGGGCGTCGTCCAGGCAGCGCTTGACCGTGCTGCTGAGGGCCGCACTACCATCGTCATTGCCCATCGACTGTCGACCATCAAGACTGCGCATAATATTGTCGTCTTTGTCAACGGCTCCACTGTCCAGCAGGGCACCCATGACGACCTCACTGAACATGACGGCCCTTACTTCAAGCTCGTCGAAGCCCAGCGCATCAACGAGGAGAAGGACGCCGGTGCTCTGGACGAAGATAAGGATGAACACGGCATCGGGCACATGGCCAAGTGCCACATCGCACGCGTCAAGTCTATTGCCAGTGGTTCGACCCTTGTCAAAGATAAAGCCAAAGAGTTCCAGGACGACATCGACGTCCGGCGCCAGGAGTCTCGCAAGTCCGTGTCCAGCGTTGTTCTCTCGAAGAGGACCGCCGAAGGCGGCAACAAGTACTCCCTCTGGGCTCTGATCAAGTTCATCGCCTCGTTCAACAAGGAAGAGCGGCTATTTATGGCCGTCGGTCTTTGCTTTTCGATTCTCGCCGGTTGTGGTCAGCCTACTCAGGTTTTCCTGTACGCCAAAGCTATCAGTGCACTGTCCTTGCCAAAATCCCAATACGACAAGCTTAGATCGGATGCCAACTTTTGGTCTCTGATGTTCTTTGTTGTTGGAATCGCTCAATTCATCACTTTTTCCATACACGGTATCGCCTTCGCGTTTAGTTCCGAGAGATTGATCCACAAGGCCCGCAAGAAGGCCTTCCGCGTCATGCTCCGCCAGGATATCAACTTCTTCGATCGCGAGGAGAACAGCATCGGCGCTTTGACTTCTTTCCTCTCGACTGAGACTAAGCACTTGTCTGGTATCAGTGGACAGACCCTTGGCACAATTCGGATGACCTGCACAACTCTCATCGCTGCAATTGTGATCTCTCTCGCTTTCGGATGGAAGCTTGCCCTTGTTTGTATCTCCGTCGTTCCCGTTCTTCTGGCTTGCGGCTTCTACCGCTTCTATATGCTCGCCGAATTCCAGTCACGTTCCAAGGCTGCCTATGAGGGATCTGCCAACTACGCCTGTGAGGCCACGTCTGCCATTCGCACTGTGGCTTCGCTTACCCGTGAGACCGATGTTTGGTCAGTCTACCACGCCCAACTCGACCTCCAGGGCCGCACAAGCTTGTTGTCGGTTACCAAGTCGTCGATCTTGTATGCATCTTCCCAGGCCTTGATCTTCTTCTGTGTCGCCCTTGGCTTCTGGTATGGTGGAACCCTGCTCGGCCACCACGAGTACGATATCTTCCGCTTTTTCGTGTGCTTTAGTGAAATTCTGTTCGGTGCCCAGTCCGCAGGAACTGTGTTCTCTTTCTCCCCGGACATAGGCAAGGCGAAGAACGCCGCCGCCGAGTTCCTTAAGCGTTTCGAGCGTCGCCCCACTATTCACACCAGGTCCAAAGAGGGCGAGAACTTGGATCACTGCGATGGAACCATTGAGTTCAAGGACGTGCACTTCCGCTACCCCACCCGTCTCGAGCAACCCGTGCTCCGCGGTCTGAACCTCACCGTCAAGCCCGGCCAGTATATTGCGCTGCTCGGACCTAGCGGATGCGGCAAAAGTACCGCTATTGCCCTTCTCGAGCGTTTCTATGATGTCCACTTCGGCGGCGTCTACGTTGATAACAAGAACATCGCCGACCTCAACGTCAACTCCTACCGCAGCCACCTGGCGCTAGTCAGCGAGGAGCCGACTCTGTACCAGGGTACCATCAAGGAGAACGTCCTGTTGGGTAGCCCCAACGACGACCCCACCGAAGAAGAGCTCGTCAAGGCCTGCAAGGACGGCAACATCTACGACTTCATCATGTCTCTCCCCGATGGCTTCAACACCGTCGTCAGAAACAAGGGAGGTATGTTGTCCGGCGGCCAGAAGCAGCGTGTTGCCATCGCCCGTGCCCTCCTCCGCAACCCTAAGATCCTGCTCCTGGACGAAGCCACCTCGTCCTTGGACTCTGAGTCCGAGAAGGTCGTCCAGGCTGCCCTGGACGCTGCCGCCCGTGGTCGTACCACTATCGCCGTGGCTCACCGTCTCAGCACAATCCAGAAGGCTGATATCATCTATGTCTTCGACCAAGGCAGGATTGTCGAGAGCGGTACCCACACCGAGCTCCTGCGCACCAAGGGCCGCTATTATGAACTGGTTAACCTCCAGTCTCTTGGCAAGTCCAACTGATTTGATCCCTCTAGTCCTGGAACAAAAAGGTAAGAGTAGTATTTGAGAAACCTCTTGCGATAAGTCTAGGCAAGTGACTAGAGCTAGTAGTGGCAAGGATGGAGAATTGTTTTGGGATGTGTTGCTTGGCGGTCAATACTCGTGGTAGAGTATTCTAAATCTTATGACCCGCGGATAGCCCCTCAATTGACTTTTGTAAAATATGGATAGGATAGAATTAGACCTTAATTTACGCTAGCCTCGTCGTTGTCTTTTGGAACTTCTATTACCTACTAAGTGGCGAGAAAAATTCATGGACGAAACGAAGCGCGTGAGGAAATTGTATATTTATTTGTGAAACCCGTAAAGCTAAAGAGCTTAGTAGCATCTAGACTAGATTACCCGTTGACTCCATCCTATTACGTGACGTGTGGAGACGATGTTCAATCAATAAATCAATCAAAGTTCTATTAACCTGTTGGAGCCTAACTAGTATGGTAATAGCTATGCAGGCGCTTCGGTCCAGATGAAGCAAGAACTCGTGCCTGAATCTCGAACTAGCGACCACCACAGGCGAAACTGCAATCTGTAATTCCATCATGACAGTGGCAAGCGCCTGAGGAGCATATACCCCCGTTACGTGGGCACTTGAAAGTTCCAAGGTTAGTATACAAGAGCGTTAAACACATTGATAAGGATTACCCTGTAGCCACAGCTACCGCAATTCTCGCTATCCGTCTGGAGGTATTTGCAGGCACCTCCACAGGAAGTTGTACCATCCACGCACTGGCAAATACCCGAGGAGCATGACGAGTTAGATGAGCACTTCAGGGTTTCAAGTTAGCATATAAGAATAATCAGAAAGCTAGCAAGAATTACCTCATGTCCACAGTAACCGCAATTATCGCCATCTGTCTGGAGGTCTGGGCAGAAACCTCTACAGAAGCCTGACGGGTTGCACCCCCGCAAGTCTACCAATGTCTTCGATCCTGCACGCGATCAGCATGCTCGTTCGCCACTCAGCATACTCACCACGCCTCCAGAGCATCCCGTCCTGAGGCGAGCACGAAGCTGTTCGCCGCTCATTTGGCTCGAGGACGAGGAGTTGTGGATTGTTGCATGACCGTCGGCCTCTCCGTCTCCGTCTCCTCCTCAGTCTCCTAGCAGCCGACCAGACCTGCCACTGCATACGTCATTATCGCAACCCCTCGAGCTCGAGCGCCAGTGGGACAGCAGCGGCAACGACGTTGGGGATCGCACTACTCCTCCGCCTTCATACGACAGCCACCGGTTCAGCCCAACACACGTGTTGCGGCAGCGACGTGGGACGGTGTCGAGATGGGGGGCCGTGGCTCGGCACATGCACAACTTGTCGCATGGATGAGGCACCGATGTGTCCCCGGGGCCGCCGCGGGGGAGCACAACTGGTCCCAACGCTTTGTTGCTATGCGAGCAAACTGCATCTCAGAACCACCGCTCCACCGCAAGTTCGCACGTCGCAGTCCTTGAGTTGTCCTCGCGGGAAGGCCTGCTCGTTGGCGCAGGACAATGGTTCCATCTGAAGGTAGCACGTCAACATTCACTAGGTCGAGAGAGAGTTATGACAGCCGAAGTTTCTCGAATCCCCAGCGCCGGCATCCGTCGTGCCGCTGGCCAGGATTTGTGACTCGATGTCCCCGGTGCTCTCGCGCGCTCACACAGACCAGCAGCTCTCCAGCCTCTGAGATATTTGTCGTGTCCCACACGTAGCAAAAAGAAGGGCAAAGAAGCATGGGCGTGGGCGATCGATAGATAAATATAAAACGACCGCAGCGCGGGTCTCCCGCTGGTCCACACGGTGTTCACTCTTCCGCGATGTCCTCCTGATCAAACCTCAAACTCAAGACGCATTACCAGATATGCCTCCGCAAGGCCCGGACCCGTTTGTAGCTTTGAAAATCCCAGAAAGTTAGTCTGAACCCGCGACTATTTAGAGCTCTATTTCCTGCAGGGAGTCCCAACAGTGAGGCTTTGAAGCATCTCTTAACATAGCTTCCACACCCCTCGCCCGTTCCACTCGATCTAAGTCTGCCCAAAGGTCCATGCGCTAAAAACGAAGGTCGTCGCAAATCAAGCCTCATGAAAAAAGCGTCCGTTTATGGGACAATTACTCGTAGTCCCTCCTGCGCCAGTCGCTGGATGCTATGGTCCTGTTAGATCCCGCCGTGTTTTCAGAACGGGAGCTGTTCGGGCGCAAGTAACCCTCATCACACACGCGGCGAACATATCTGCCATCCGTATGAGGATTCACCAGCGTTTTGGGTATGTCCCCCGCCAGTGCTACCTTTAGCTTGTCCCCCATGATTGGCCTGCCGTTCAGTACCTTCATCGCTGCGTTCGTCTCCTCCCTGGTTTCGAAGACAACGAGGCAGTAGTGGTGGTTGCCCCGTATCGATCTCGTGTTCTCGTGTGGCGTGATCGGTTTGCCAATCACCGTCCTAGTATACACATCCCAATTAGCAAAGGTATATTGCAGCATAGAAATAGTAGGGCTCCACACAAGGGGTGAAGCCAGCGAAAATCTCGGATATATCTCTGTTGTGTTGGGCTTGGTTAATCATCTTGCCCAACCTACCGACATAGAGCCTCCGCCCCTCTTAGTTCTGTACCATATGATCAAAGTGATCCAGTGCCCCATAGGGACCCTGCTCAATCCCCTTATTATTGAGTCAGCAAGTTATAATCTCGCTATCGCTAGATTGGGAGATACAATCGCCCCATCCCTTGAAAGCAAAATCGTCCTCGCAGTTCCAGCAGTGATCATACTGCTTCTTAGGTTCACATTGACCGACCCTGATAGGCCGTCCGCTAATGGCTGCACTCAAGGAGATAAGGGCACGGTCGGCAATCGCGCTGTTGGGGAAGTCGACGAAGCAGTAGCCTGGGTTTGGCGCGCTGGCGGGGTCAATAGATGTGGATATTTTCTAAGTGGCCGAAGCCATTGATGGCAATAACTTCCTCGATGTCGTGGGGCTTAACCGTGTAGGGTTGGTTACCTATACTCAATAGTCAGCTTTATCGAAGAGCAGAGTCATCGGCAAACATGGTCGCACCCAAGTAGATACGTCTACCTGCAGATAAGGCATCTGGTTGGGCTCTCAGGAGCTTGTTCCATGGCCAGTTCGTTTAACACGAAGGACTTACACTGCCAGTAAGATGTCCCTGCACAGTGCAATGGAATGCTTTGCGCCATTTTCATCGATGAAGTTTGTCGAATCGAAATTCGAAGCTTCGCAGGGGTGGTTGGATGAACCACGTGATCGATGCCTCAAGCGGCACCACTTCCCTGGGCAGGGCATATTATTTATTATAATTAAATCAAGTTTACTGTCCATACCGAGCCCTAAAGCTATGATAGTCCACGGCTCAGAGACAGTATCTGCTTGCGCCTTGTTGGGCTGCTTTTAGACCCGTGCTTCCTATTAGTTCCTGGGCATTAGCCCCTAGTTGTGATATGAGGCTGGTGCGGATCAGGAACAAAGCTGCATCATCAGAAATAATTCCTGCACGATCTATACGAAGAACCAACTTGAGTTTCAATCAACTTGGACCTCATATTGTATATATAATCTCTTGTGTTCCTTCACAAATAACAAATCAAGCATTCCTCACCATAACAACACCCCTTATTAAGACAATCTGATCCTTTCCTCACCCCGAACCGCCTATCTCCGCAGAGCTTTTGAGCCATCCTGGCTCTCCTCGGTTTCTCTAGTGTAATGGGTGGCTCCTGTGCTGACCGCCTAACCTACCACTCCTGCTATCCTTCCCCAGCCCTGTGTGCTTCTTCCAGGTCCTATATTCCCCATTCATCATCCCGTCGAGCTCGCTCTGTTATCCTGTGGTGGTGGTCCGCGGGTAGAACTACCCGCGTGGTTGCTAGGGATTGGAGAATGGCCCTGGTTGCCTTGGGTTCCTCCAGAAGTCTTCCCCGGGCATTCCTCAGCTGCTGAGGGTCCAGCAATACCAGCTCGATCTAGAGCTTTGTAGAGCTTTGCTCGCTGGTGCTGCCACTCCCGACATTCAAAAAGAAGGTGATGCAATGTTTCCTTTGGTGCTCCACAATTTTGGCAGACCGGGGTTTCCCGGGCCTGAATTTGGTGTAGGCAGGTCCCTACCTCTCATGTCCGCTTCTCAACCAGTAGTAGCGGCTAGCTTCCAGTTTCCAACGCACCCTGCACTATGAACTGCTCGAAGAACGCCGCCGTGATGACGGGCTTGTTCTCGACGAAGGTGTATGGGCACAACAGAGTACCACCGCCAATGCTGATCACGATGATAGAGAAACGGCGCCCAAATATTGGTGATCGCTTCAGCGAACGGGGGGAGAAGAAAGCAAGGGAGGAAAGATGAATGCTGATAGAGCAGTATAAACAATGCCAGAGAGACAATATCCTATAGAACGATTGCTCAGCGTATTTCCTGGCGCGAATCGACCGTCTGGCTATTATTAGAACCGCTAGTAGAAACTAGGAATGGATTAAACATGAGGTTTACTTACAAGATATATATTTCTCTCATGAAAACTGTGTCAAGTTACAAGAAAGCGTGCACGCATCAAATAGTCGCAGATAAGAGAGAAAATTAGTGTTCCATATAGGGTAAATCAGCATGCATGAGAATTTCAACAAAATTAGATGATATAAGATCATCTGCTACGTCAAAAGGATTGTAGTGACTATGACTAGTGTAAATAACCGTTTTTTATTTTGCTGAATCATCGTGTTATGCGGAAGATTTATGCATTTTTGGGCGGCTTTGGACACTTGGGGACACTTTGGGCAGTCCATGGACGGGTTTTGGCGTGGTCTAGCCATGGATCGCGGGGGCCGAAGGTTTTTAAGTACCCAAACTATGGTCGTCTGAAATCCATGGTTCTGGCCGTAACCTTAGTGCCTGCCTGACACCTGCCCCTCTATATTTAAGTGTCCCCGCCCGTACGTATTCTCTTCTGCACATCTATACTGTCTTTAGATATGGAC